CCCATGTTTTTTTTGCCTTTCCCCATGTTTTGTTTGTCTTTCCAAACTCAGCCGCGCCATACCTGCCAACGGACTGATGTTTTTGGTCATTCCGAATTCAAAGTGTGACTCCAGAACAGTTCCCTCAGAAAAAAATATAAAAACCGCCTACTTTCAGGGGAAGGGGAACGGGTAGGGGGTCGGGCGCTTTTGGAAATTCCATAGCCCAACCCGGCACAATTCCTTCCCATGCTGCCAACCAGGAGGCTGAGAGAAGAAACAGCCAGTTTAAACCACCAATACTTGGCCCAGCTATCGGCCGCGGGCTTGCCCGTTCATGCGCCACAGCCTCAGGAGGTCGGCCGATAGCAGCGCCCGGTAGGCCAACAAAGCCGGGCTCAGCCACTTTCGGGATGACACTCCTGACAGCAAAAAGAAAACAAAAAAAAAACAAAAAAAAAAACAAAAAAAAACAAACAAATAAGAAGACTTACCAAAGAAACAAAACAACGTCTCTCTCTCTCTCTCTCTCTCTCTCTCTCTTTCTCTCTCTCTCTCTCTCTCTCTCTCTCTCGCTGTGGCCTCGTGCCGTTTTTAAAAGCAGTGTGGGAATTTTCCCACGCTTTGCTTTTTCGAACGGCGGGGGGGCAGAAAGGGGGAGAGAGAGAGAGAGAGAGAGAGAGAGAGAGAGAGAGAGAGAGAGAGAGACAAAGTGTGGGAAAATTCCCACACTTTGCATTTTCGAACGGCGGGGGGCACACAGAGAGAGAGAGAGAGAGAGAGAGAGAGAGAGAGAGATCTGCCCCCCCAGCCGTTCAAAAAAGCAAAGTGTGGGAAAATTTTCACATTGCTTTTTCAAACGGCGCGGGGCCACAGAGAGAGAGAGAGAGAGAGAGAGAGAGAGGCGACGAGATCTCGTCGTCTCTCTCTCTCTCTCTCTCTCTCTCTGTCTCTCTGGCTGCATGTACGAAATTCTACAGTTCGAAGCCGGAGTGAATCTTCCTGCGAAATGGGGAAGATTCATTCCTGCTTTGGCTTCATTCCCGCTCTAAAGCCGTTCGAAGAACGGGGGAAGATCATTACACACACACACACACACACACACACACACAGAGAGAGAGAGAGAGAGAGAGAGAGAGAGAGAGAGAGAGAGAGAGAGAGAGAGAAGAGAGAG